CTCTACGAGCCAGATTCTTCGATCTGGGACGTGTGATGGTTCGATTTCTGAAGCGAGGGAGGAACTTGGAGAAATCTTCGGAGGAGAAGGAGATGTTCGACGTTCCGGGAAGGCAAGCTCGAAGCATGATCCTTGAGAATGGAGGAGATCACGGGGATGATAGGTGGATGTTTAGGAGCCAGGGAACGAGAACGGGGCAGCCAATTGAAGTTCAAAAGATTGGTTCGTTGTTCGATCGATTGGAGATCAAAGCTCCCAAGTCTAGGCTCGGGAAGGAGGGTTCCTGTCCTCGGTGCGGATCCGGCCACTGTGGGCAGCACTCAGGTAAATCTGCCATTGCTTCTATTTTTGAGTTTGGGGATTGGTTGGTAAATTATGAAATTAGGGCTGTAAATTCATGACAATTTGTATGCCAATCTCTAATGAAACTGCGAGTTTTGATTCCAATCGTAGTGTTAAAGAGCATTGGCTTCGGAGTGTATATGAAATTGCTTTGTATGGTTGCTGATTTGCTTATTGTTGAATAGGTAACTGGAGAATTTGTTGATTTTTTTTTCAGATTTCATTAGGTACATAGAATTGATAAATTTTTAGTGGTTCAATAAGCTTGTATTTGATGATCTTTTCTGGTTTTTTTTCTTTTTTTAATTCAGATATTGAGCAGATGAAGGAGAAGTTCGCCAAGCTGCTTCTTGGTGAAGACATGTCAGGAGGTGGAAAAGGGGTTTCATCAGCTCAGGCTTTATCTAATGCCATCACCAATCTCGCTGGTATAATCTTCTTTTCTTTGTCTCAGAATTATGAATAAGTCTAGGGGCAATCACAATCAGACCACCCAAAACTTGCTATTTGCAAATCAACTATCCTCTTTCATCCAATTTCAAATTCTCACTCAAATATCAAAATTTATGGTAAAACTACAACCCATATTTTCATTAAATTCTCTAAATACATCGGTTCGGTGGTTAAAAAAATTCACCTGGGTGATTAATTTATAAATATCAATGTTTCGGGTGTTATGTGTGTAATTATCCCTATTTTTTCAATTTTTATTATGATTTTGTTCTTGCAATCAATCAAAAATAAGGAATCCAATGAGGTGAAGACTATTGTAGATTCAATAAATAGCAACAAAATTTCATTTTACCAAATACTAACAAATTTACTTTTTTCTCATAAAATATGGTGGGAAAAAAAGCTATCTCAAAAATCATGTTGATTTTGTAACATTGTCTTTAAAACCCGAGGATTTCTGATCATGATGAAGGTAAAATGGGTGGTAATTAAAAGGGGCCTTTACAACCCAAAATTCTTCTATATTTACAAATCTAATACCTAAAATTTGATTTTTTAACACTAAAATCTTTAATATCACATAAAAAAAATCACTATTACTAATAATCTTTAATATCACATAAAAAAATATCACTATTACTAATTTTTTTAAAGTGAAATACACATTTTGATGTATAGATAAAGTGTATAAATGTTAAAATTACACTTTAGGTTTTAGATATGCAAATACTTAGGAATTGTGTGGTATGTAAATCTTCAAATAAAAAATTTCATCAGTAGCTTCTAATATATTTGTGTAAGAAGTGCAAGTTAAATAAAAAAAAATAGAAATACATTTGATTAGAAATATGAAAAATTTATGTGGTAGCAATAATACAATTGTTATGTACTATAAAACGACATTCAAACTCATTTTTTATTCTAAAATAGAAATGTGCTCACTTGCACTTCTGCGATTGTCTTTTTTATGTTGATCATTTCTTTTGCAGTACCGACATAAAAATATAGGAAGCTTTATAAACGTATCACTCAATTCTTATATATTTTCAGATTTAAAACCTAAATTTCAATTTTTGCAAGCATACCACCTTACCTATGCATGAAAAGTTGTTTTCACTTTTTAAAAGTTAAAATGGTGGTATTTTTTATAAATGGTGGTAAATGGTGGTATTTTTTATGTGATATGAAAGATTCCGGGTATAAATGTAAAAGCAAAATTTTGGTGTTAGATATGTAAATGTATAAGAATTGAGTTGGATGTCTGTAAATGCCCCAAAAATATACCAGAAGGTTCTGACATAAATTTTTTTCCTATGATTGACTACTTGGATAGTCCTGCCATTTTTTAGTTGCTTATGCGCATTCATTTTTAGCTTCAATATTTGGCGAACAACACAAGTTAGAACCTATGGCGCCTGAGACAAAGATTATGTGGAGAAAAGAAATTGAATGGCTTCTGTCTGTCACTGATTACATTGTAGAATTTGTTCCTTCTCAGCAAGTAGGGAAGGATGGCTGCAACATGGAGGTCAAAGACTGTTCTATCTTCCCTCTCTTCCATTGTCTTTTTCTATTTTCTTCAACTTCTATCCATTGCTAAATCCATCTAAGTTTCAAATCCTTGTTTGTATTTGTTTCTTCTTCGATGCAGATCATGACAACTCAGCAGCGCAGAGATCTTCTGATGAACATTCCTGCATTGCGAAAGCTCGATGCTATGCTTATTGTATGATTCCAACCTCGTCCTCAAATTGTTGATTAACTCTAATGAAGTTTCTTATGATGCTTGACGATTAATAATATATTTAACAGGGTTATCTTGATAATTTTAAAGACTACAATGAATTCTGGTATGTTGAAGGAGATGCTGATGGCTCAGAAAAAAATAAAGTGCAGAGAAAAGATGGCAAGTGGTGGCTCCCAGCCGTGCAGGTCCCTCCAAATGGACTATCCGAGGTCTCTAGAAAATGGCTGCAATTCCAGAAAGAATCTGTGAATCAAGTTCTCAAGGCAGCCATGGCAATCAATGCTCAGGTTCTTATGGAAATGGAGATTCCTGAAACTTACATTGATTCCCTTCCAAAGGTACTTGAATCTTATAATCATGTCTTCATTTTCAGTTCAACATAAAGTTTGATAACATTTGGCATAATTTTAGTTTCTTTGTTTTCTATTTTTTGTTTTTATTTTGTTTTGTTTGTGTTTTGATTTGAAACAAAACATGTTTTGTATGTTTGATTAAGATATAATTGTTTTAAAAAACATTCAAAATACATAAAAGTTGTTTTGAGTGTTTTCAAAAGCATGCTTATTATATATAAACAAAAAACAAAATTGATCCCAAACAAGCCCTAAAGTTATATATATATATATTTTTTTTTATCATAGAATGGAAGGGCCTGCCTCGGAGATTCGATATACCGCAGCATTACGGTCGACCACTTTGACGCGGAGGTTTTCCTCTCGTCGCTTGATTTGTCAAATGAACACAACGTCCTCGACCTCAAGAACCGAATTGAGTCCTCTGTAGTGATTTGGAAGCGAAAGATGCATAATAAGGACCTCAAATCATGGGGCTCAGCGATTAGCTTGGAGAAGAGGGAACAATTTGAAGAAAGAGCTGAGACCATCCTTCAACTTCTCAAAAACAGGTTCCCTGGTACCCCTCAGTCAGGCCTAGACGTTAGCAAGATTCAATACAACAAGGTAATGAAATTTCCTAACAAATTCACCAGAGAATATAACTTGTTAAGTTTCTTCCTGCATACTTAACAGTATTAATTTCATTCTTAAGGATGTGGGACAATCTGTTCTTGAGAGTTACTCAAGGATCCTTGAGAGTTTGGCCTATACTGTATTGTCAAGAATTGAGGATGTTCTCTATGCCGACCAACTTGCACAGGATCCCAGCAAGAAGAACTCAAGAAGGAAGCTTTCTCAGTCAGATTCAGAGCAATTGTCACAGAAAAATTTTGATCCAACGCTAGAGACAGAGAGGCTGAGCTGCATGGAGCCACAGACCTCCTTCACTCTGTCAGACTACATGGGTTGGGCTTTAGACCAGGACTCAGAGAGTGAGAAGACAGAACAAGTTAGTCCCAAGGAAATCTCAGCCTCTGAAGAATCAAATTTGAAGAAGTCTCCTATGACTGCCACTCATAAGAAATTTTCTTATATAGAGAAGCTTGAGCATTTGGGAGGCTTGAGAAGTCCAAGATCCCGCCATTGAAGGCATCCACAAAGTAAAAAAAGAAGGAAATAGTTATTGAGACAAGATAGGATTGACGGAAATCATGGGTGAAATGCTTCTCTTATCTATCTTTTTCTCTTATAGTAGATAGAGAAGTACTATTTCTGGTTTTGTTGCGTCTTGGGTGCTTCTTTTTTCATGAATAACTGTTTATATTCCTGATGTAGCTTCTGATAATCTTATTCTATCCACATTTCTAGCTCTGCAATTATTTCATTGCTGAGCTTCAAAAGCGTACAACACTCTCTTGATTGTTTTTATCATTCTTTCCATTTCTAGCTGTTGTAATGGGATTATTTCTGTATGCAAATAAGATATGGAATTATTTGTTCTTGCTCTCGATTGTCTCAACCAAGCAAGAAATTATTAGGTTTGTTTTTTTATGAGCTAATATATTTGTTTTGATCTGCATTATTTTGTGTTTTTATTTGTTTGTGATATTTGCATAAAATTTTATGTAGTTATTGTAGATCTTGAGCAATGAGATTGTGGCGTAGGTCTTGAGGGGGACAATTGTGGCATAGGTATTTAGAGAGGTGATTGGTTGTGGTGTGTTGAGTGAGAGGGCTATGACACACATATTAAGGGAGATGGCTATAACACAAATCTTATGTGAGATGGCTATGGGACAAGTTTTGTTAGAGATGTTTGCTACATAATTCCTATTGTAGAAAATGGTGGTATAACTCTCAAGGTAGATGATTATGGTGCCTGTCTTGATGGTGTTGGCTATTGCAAAATTTGGGAAAGGTAGTTATGGTGCAGGTTTTAAGGGTAACAGGTGCAGCATTAGTCTCTAGGGATATGATTATGCTGTAAGTTCTAAAATAATAACAAATTTTATTGCAAAAAAAATGAACGTTACTATGTATGGCGTAATCAAAGATTGAGATGAAAGCCTTGATGCATCGTGACGGCGTATGAATTCTGTTGAGATTTGTATCTAGTTTAGGATTCTATTGTAAATAGAAAATATAGAAGAAGCCTAGTGATTTATTTGTAAACTATTGTAAGGCTCTATATTTGCCCAAGTCATTAATAATAGAAAAATGATTTTTGGAGAAATTTTTTCTATTTTGTATCAGAGCCGAACCCTAGCCGTTTTTTTTTTCTTTTTTTTTTTCATTCTCGCGAAAGTAACCATCCGGATCAGCGTATAGAGACCTGAAACTCCAAAATTTTCTCATCCTTCCACTTATTCAGCCACAACTAGTGTTAACTAGGATGCCAATGATAGGATAGTGGCAACCAGGTTGGGATCATCATGCTGAGACCTGAAAATCGCAAGCTTTCCCTTCCTTTTGCTTTGTCCTTGCGAAGCAAACATGACTAGAGCTAAAAAAGACGCCAACGGTGGGATAGCAACATACAATGATCATACGTGAAGAATCGCGACTTCTAGAGACCCGTAACTCCCTTCTTTCTATTTGTGATCCTTCATGACTGAATCACATGGGGATGTCAAGGAGGCCACGATGTGATCGTAACGTACAAGGAAGGGCACGACAAGATCACAGTCGTGATTGCAACGTACAACTGTGAAGGAATGTGATATGTGTGATTGATGACATCAATTTTTAATGTCACGTGTGTGGAGTGTCCACCAGCATGACTCGGGATGGTCTACGGTTCGTTTGTACCATTCAGTAGCTCAAGAAACCCGAGGCTCTCTAGCACTTGTATGGGGCAAAGAGCTAGGGTTGGCAGTGATTTAGCCTTACCCGGGAGAACCTGCCATTTTGGTGCCTATTCTAGTGTTTAGAAGTCACAGTAAATCTATCTGGAGCCTCTCGTGGCCAAGGGAAGTCAAAATTCTCCTCATGTACTATGGGAAAGTTATGGTTCGGGACGCCCTACCCGCGTCGTGGCTTAGGGTAGCCATTAGCGACAATTTACTCGGTAAATCACAGATCAAAATATCCAATTTCGAATTCATGGTGCTACATTGTACTCATATGGAGCCTCCCGTAGCTTACGGATCGAGAAAATCCTCCATTGGACACTCCCACTGAAAATCAGAGATTTAAGGCTAGACCAACGCCCACGCGCCGACCCCGGACACTTAGGCACCCAAAATGCCTTCCCGGACTTCTAAAACAAAGCCTCAGGAAGTCTGACACTAGGTTCTGTTGCCTAATCACCAGGTCCGAGTGCCTAAGCCCCAATTATGGTACACTTTTGTCACGATCAGCCGTCCTAACTCAGTTGACATCACTTTTTACCTCGATTGGCCGCCACAGCTCAGTTAACATCACTTTTTGCCTCGACTGGCCGCCCTAGCCCGGTTGACATCACTTTTGTCTCGACTGGCCACCCCGGCCCGGTCGGCATGACTTTTGCCTCGACCGACCACCACGACTTGGTCAACATTTCTTTTGTCTCGATCTTTATACAATACTAAGACATTAAACTAT